GATGTATAAATTCAACTAAAACTCCGCGTTAATTTTGAAAATACTTCTCAAGATCTTATTCTCTATCTTTTTTTTTATTGTAACAATATTCAGAACATTTGTTTACCGGAGTATGAAAATTAGTTACACCATTCTAAACAGTAAGAGGATTGTTCAACGCAAACGAAAATTATTAAATGTAGTGACATTCTTTTTGCGACTGTTCTTTTTGGTCTTTATAGAAGAGTTGTCTTATAGGTATGCAATCATACCACATCACCTTATTTTTATAATTGTATTATAAGGAATGCATATCCCCCATCCATAGCTCTGATTCATAGTCCGGTTTTGGCTATACTTTTGGTCCGTTTCAAAGAGTAATTAGGAGATAACTGTATTGTATCTTAAGCTTAGCCTTCGTAAAATGTAGATTTTACTATCGCAAATTGAGTTTACCTAGAGACGCGTATCCTAATTACTTTTTCAATTGAGATTTTTAAAAATTATTTGCACGAAGTTCACGAACAATGTGAGAAATGGTGTTGATTTATTAGGCGAGCTGCGATAATTATTCTATAATCCTGGGTTGCATTCATACAAATGAATTACAAGTGACATAATCTAATGGTTCGTTATAAGCCTTTGTACGAGTTGAACACCTACTGTACATGTAAATATATGTTTATCAAATATAGAGGACAGCACTCCATTTCAATAATTCATATGTAATTAAGACATAATACTGTTAAGCATAATACAATTCTCTGAAGATGACTTAACATCTATGCACACATGCGACGATTTTGTTTTCATAGTGTAAAAAAGTGTATTTTGTTACCAATGTTAAACATATATTTAATATCGTATGACAGTTTAATATGAATCATATCCCAAAGGTGAACGGCTTTCTATTTCGTTTGTTATTAACATGCAAAACTGCCATAATTTTATGACAGTGTTCATATTTGTTAATTTCATATACTGATTCATGATGGTACCATTTTTTAAATGATTTCGCTTCAAACCTTAGGGACACTTTTATGTTCGAAAACGTTAAACATAGAAACTAATAAATAATTTTGTTTTAATCTAAACTCAGTTAAGAGGCAAATCCGTCCGTTATTCAATCCCTATTTATAAAATTTAAAGGGATTCCAAAGTTTTCAAAATGCTTTCATCTAGAACGCAAAAACGGGGTTTGAACGAGTAAACAGCAAAGACTTGCGAAATTAAAAATCGGGCCATATTTCTAGATGAAATAAAACGAAGAAAAAGGCCATCAGGATCTTGAAACAAAACTAAATATTTAATTTTTTTATCCGACTGACATTAATAAATCCTCAATCTTATTATTAGATTAATTTCGCTTTCAGCAAACACATTTAATTTACGCATTTTAATCCATGGCAGTACATATAAAATCTAACCAACAACAAAGTGGATTAAAATCTTATTCGTGCGTTCATCGCCTCTACAAAGAACAATAATCATGATAATGCATTGCAACATGATCTCATAATGGTTTTCAAAAATACATAATTATTGAAACCTTGAACTTATTCTGCACGATGATGTACCTTGTTTGATTACCATTTCGCGTGCTATGTACTATCATCAAATGTAAAATAAACTTATACAGGACTCAGATAGATAATCAATGTACTTAGATGTATTTGTAGTTATTTCCGTTATTTGTATCTTTTTATGCCTTTCTCCTGTATTAATTTTCGGATATACTTTTGTTATTTCCGTTTTGTATCTTTTTTTGCCTTTATCGGATATCTGTTTTCGGATGTAATTTTGTAATCGTATCTCGAATACTGCTAACAGATTTTAATTTAGTTTACAATTGATTTTTGTTATTAAATACTAGTGCATATATGAAAAGCTAGGTATTTTCACATAGTTGATCTGAAAACAGAAAGATTCGTGCAAACACAATTATACATTGCAATAATAGAACCATCATTGTGAAGGAAAGGAATAGTGAGGTATTTGTTAACAGGAACACAGTCCAACTACTAAACAACCAAAAGATATCTAAGAGGTCAATATACCGTCTTCAACTATGTAAAAATAAGGAGATGTGGTATGATTGCCAATGAGACATCTATCTTCCAAAGTTCAAATGCAGTGGATGTAAACAATTATAGGCAACCGTACGGCCTTCAATAATGAGAAAAAACCCATACCATATAGTCGGCTATAAAAGGCCCCGACACGAAAAATATGAAAACAATTCAACTGAGAAAACTAACGGCCTAATTCATAACAAAACAATTTACGAAAAACAAATATTACAGACATGAACCAACTACAACCACTGAACTACAGGCTCCTTGGGACAGCCACATCAAGAATGTGGCGGGGTTAAACATTTTTGTGAGCGCTCAACTCTCCCCCTAACCTGGGACAGAGTGAGCATGTTATACAATAATTACAGAAAACAGAACATATAATGTGATATAAATACTTGGAAATCTAGTGTTGGTTGTAAATCAGACAACGGTTCACCAAACCCAAAAAGGGGAAAAAAATCAACGACTCATTTTGCAAGCAGATAAATGAAAAACAAAATTCCCAAATCTGTATAAACCCGTTACAAATGAAAATAATAAACTAATTGATAAAACTAAAAAAAACTAAATCAATATTACGAGTAAAAATCTATTTCAGAGGTCCTAACTTTTAATAAATGTTTCAGAGAAGAATTGAACCAATAACAAATAATAGCCGATTCTTATAATATGTTTGTACTCCATTCAATAAAATTAAATGTATAACACTTGTCTTGAATTGACTAGCGTGTGTCAAACTTCCAGTGACAACTGTTTCAAATGTATTCAGAACGAGTACACATTAAATGATACACTAATAAGGTGGGTACTTGAAAGTCTGTCTGAAAATTTGAACTGCCATTAAAAAAAATGTTTATTATGATTGGACAGAGAGACGGCTTGCCTAACAACAAATCCTCTCTCAATCCGCAAAACGGCAGACGGACGTGTTTTCGAACTCCGTACACTATCCGGAATATGTATTCGTATCCTTCATTGTTTTTAATCAGTTTTATAAAATACTTTATAATAAATAATCACACCTTACGTTCGAATCACACTGAGTGGCTTATATAAATTTACAGATGACAAAAAATGCACTTTTCATATTGTTGTACTGTCTAGACGGAAACTTTAAATATTCAAATAACATCACGCAAATTAGATTATTATCTCACTTGTCCAATCAGTAATTCTCTTGTTCAATATTAAGAAATTAATTTTTTGCATGGCTAATATGATTGAACGAGGTAACAGCTGTATTCACTAATAACTCGTGTAAAATGGAAAATTCTAACATGACGTTCTTCAAACGCTTTGAGTACACACCCGTGGTAAAATATGAATATATTGTTTGGGCTGTTCCAATCGTACTCCCGCGTCATATGTTTTTTATGAATGAGCTACCCGACGTCATAGAACGATGACGTAAGAATATAAGCATTTTACGGGAAAATACACGCTTGTGAAACCGAAAATCATCACAACAAGGAAACGTAAATAAACGATGCAAAAATGTGTTATATAAGCCATTTTGTATACATATAAGACATATAAGTACAATTATCATTTAGATTCATCCAAACCTATCTAAATATGTTATTGTAAATAGTTTAAGCATGTCATTTATTCAGTTTGCTCCGGTCTTTTACGTCAATTTAATAGTGCGTTTATGTATGGGAACGGCAAATAATGCCTTCATCTAGAGCGCTTCGATCCAAAACAATTGCCGTATTTGTCCTATTAGAATCGAAATAATTCATGGGGGCTTGAATATATCGTGATTTTACCACGGGTTGTCCCTTTATGCCGATATTTTAACCCTCGCTATCGCTCAGGGTAAAATTTTTGTCATAAAGGGCCAACCCGTGGTAAAATCACGATATATTCAAGCCCCCATGAATTATTTCTTAAACAAGCTGTGTATGTAACATTATTAATTAACTACTCTGTTATTGGACTTAATATGATGATAACTGTCTTTGCTATACAAAAGTGTCAACTCGGCCAATACAGGAAAACTCGGCCAATATGGATTTTTTTCTGTATTGGCCGAGTTTTCATCCGTCCAATACAGGATTTCGGAACGTCTCTTAGTTTTTAGATCGAAAATCATGATAAACACAACGTAATGTAAGACGCTGTTTTATTTACTCACCATAAACATGCCGAAACGTTCAGTGTGGCAAATATTTCAGGCTGAAGACGGTCACATTCAATTAAAAAAGCATTTTATAAGCAGACAATTGAATTATTTCAGGTTTGGGCAACGAGTCTGTAGATTATCACAAAGCTCATTTTTTGTCGACCTCATAACTATTTAAAACAGTTTATCAGTTTAATGAGTGCATTTCAATTTACTGTTTACTTTCGCTTCTCATGTTCTTGTATCATATTTTTTTCAACCCGAACCTCATATGGATTGTTGAAGGATAACTGTAATCTATTGATCAAGTCTTTACGGATAGTTGTCTCATTGGCAATCATATTCAACTCCTAGTTTTATTTAGTCATTTTGTTTCTGAATCTCTCATGCAATGGCAGTACCTTTCCAATTACTATTTATGTGCTGCATTTGAATATGTATCGTAACACTTTAAAGTGACTGAAAAGGGTTAACAAATCATCAAAAAATGTAGAAGACTCTTCTAAACAGCACCAGATCATTTGACATTGCAGCTTATAAAAGGAAATTCAAATTTGGATAGTTCGATTTCAATGTAAAACATGTTAAAATCATGTGAAATGAAAGAAAACACAAAAAAAGTTAAACACTGTATGCACATAGTTAATTAATAAATATATCATTACGTGATTATTTCTGTATTGGCCTTGTTATTGGTCCTCGGCCAGCTGTATTGGCCTGAGGCGAAGCCTCAGGCCAATACAGTAAGCCTCGGACCAATAACAAGGCCAATACAGAAATAATCACGTAATAATATCATAGTATGTGGTATTGCTTACCTGGCGTCTAGAGGATACAGCTGTCCGTTTCCGTTTGTCTATAGATCTTTTACGCCGGGAACAATAAATGGTTGTGTTGTATAGCATATGCACAATAGATGAATATAACACCGCAGTGATAACCAACGGTACAATATAAAAAATAACAAGATCTATCAAATAATATACCCTGTATTGATATCTTTCTAGTCTATAACCACAGGATTCCATCGTTTCACCCATATAATTTATTTCACATGTAATTTCACTAAGACCTAACCAAGGTGCACAATACATCAGAGCAAAACACCATAGTCCTATAATTATTTTCTTTGCACGTTCTGTTGTGCACATGATTTGAGCTTTCATTGGATGGCATATAGCAATGTATCTTTCAATGGTAAAGGCTGTTATAGAAAGCGCTGACGCGTTAGCTCCAAAATATTGCACGAAAACCATTATTGAGCATAAAACGTGTCCATACGGCCATTCAGCGCGCTTATAGAACGGTTCAGCTGTAGCAGGTAAGGCGGCTGATAATAATAACAAGAGGTCAGCGAAGGCGAGACTTAAGAGATAACAATTTGTAGTCGTATGCATACTGCGGCGTTTGATGACTACAGTTATAACAAGAATATTTCCAACAAACCCCATTACAAAAATCACGGTAAGTAAAATCACAGCTACTACTACGTAACATGCGGGAAAATGTTCGAACTCCTCTACAAGCATGCATTCGGACATTGTACAGTTAGTTATGTTACATGTAATGTTTATCAAACCGTCCCAAGGCTCCATCTGAAACTAGTGACACTTCATGAAAAAGATGAATAAAATTGAACTTTGTTGACGTTATACGTAATCACTAACTAGAAGTATCAAGTATAGACAATTTTTATAGAATAAATTCCATATTCAGGGGAAACGTTTCACGTATCCATAAAAATAATACATTTTAAATAACGAATAATTTATTTTTTCAGTTTACATCCTAGGGATGATACTTCTCATTATTTCCTCCAATCCGTGACATTGTTGCTTTACGTGGTATTATAGAAATTCAAGATTATATTACCACAAATCAATACAGTAATGTTTTTCTTCTTCCTTAGATAGAGATGAAACGTTTTATAAATATTTCAAGTAAATCCTGATAGAGATAAAATGTTTTATAAATAATTCAAACGAATCTTGAAACAGATGAACAGTTTTATAAAGTATTCTATGTGATCATATACAGGTGAAACGTTTTATAATTAATTCAAACGTGATTAGATATACTGTGTAATTTGTATTTCATTTTTAACTTTTTTTTTCTTTTTTTTTAAATTTCATCAATGCGTCTAATTAGTTCTGTTTTGATCTTCAAATAGGTTTAGAACGACACTGCTGTATACCACCATCAACGAGATAAATTATATGTAATTATAAAGAATTCAGTAGAGATGATTTTGATGAAAATTGTTAAAACTTTCAATCCAAAAGTATGCATTATGGATGTTTTTTGGGGGTAATTTGAGCATACTAGAAGCTCGCATCAAATATTGAAATAGTGTCTAGAATTAATCTTAGAACAGCTGTTGTCATGCAAAATTATATTTTTTTTTCTTAATTCAGCAAAATTATTACTCATGATAAATAAAATTGAAAATGCAAACGGGGAATGTGTCCCGACCAAAGAGCAGAAAACAGCCCAAGGCCACCAATGGGTCTTCAACACAGCGAGAAAATCCCGCAACCGTAGGCGGGCTTCAGCCGGCCCTAAACAAAAATGGGTACTATTTTAGCGAAAATGGACGCCACACTTAACTCCAAAACATATAAATGAACCAAAATTCAAAAAACATACAAGACTAACAAAGGCCAGAGGCTCCTGACTTAGGACAGGCGCAAAAATGTGGCGGGGTTAAACATGTTTTGAAAGATCTCAACCCTCCCCTAATACCTCTAGCCAATGTAGAATAAACAAACACACAGCAATACGCACAGTAAAACTCAGTTTAAAAGAAGTCCGAGTCCAATGTCAGAATAGGTAACAGAAGAAACTAAGCAAAATGACAATGATACATAAAATAACAAAGGACTACTAGCAGATACTGACATGCCAGCTCCAGGCCTCAATTAAACTGATTGAAAGATTATATCTTCATAATATGAACATACACACCTTGTGGCAAGAACTGCTAAATGATATTGAATTTTATAACTCATTTTGAAACATAGTTATAATATCATATTGTTGCTGAAAAAATCAAGGTACATGTACATCAAAACCATTCTTTATTATATCTATAATGGTTTACTTTTATAAATTGTAACTTGGATGGAGAGTTGTTTCATTGGCACTCATACCACATCTTCCTATATCTAGTTATTATATCTTACTGCATAGCATCATATATTGGAACTAATAACGAATATTTCGCTAAGCAAATACTAGTACCTAATAATTATAATAAATACACATAGTACTAGGTTCCTAAGTTACGCCACCAAATCAGACTTATCTTCGGGTTTCAGCTTCCAGGAGCAACCCGACGTGTTTCAAAGGTGGAGCAGAATATAATTACCCTTCCTTGGACTCTGAAATCACCCTGGCTTTGGTTAAATTTTGTGTAGTTAGACGTTGTGTATTGTAGGCTGTTGTTTGTCTTTCGGTAGTTTTTCCTTGTCATTGACTTCTGACTTTCAATAACCCTTTGATATCTTCTACATCTCTTATCTTATCTTTATATATATATATCGGTTTGATTTTTTTTTATATAGTTATTTAAGAACGATCGGAAAACGCAGAGATAAAAAGAATTTCAGATATGTAGATTTCTGTTGAAAAAAGTGAGACAAAAGCGTTATTTTCTATGCATTTCATTTTTTTTTGCGTTTTCTTAACTTTATTATCTGGCGTGTTAATGTTAATCTTATGTTAAAAGTAACCGGTATTTTTTTTACTCAGACTACAAATCAAAATTAGCTCTTTAAAACGACTTTTAACTACAATTATTTTAGTAAAATTATTTATCCGATTCGTTCGACTATATTTTATTTTTGCTTGTTTTCAAATAATTCCAATATGTTATTTTTTCAACTTTTTGTAAAGCTCACAACTGAAAGTGGTATAGTGTAATGCAAATATGACATTGATCAAACGATACATTATAATCTGCCAAGGTTTAATGAATCGTTAATAGTTATGTTATAATAGATGCACAAGATCGATATTACTTCAGTAGATAGTTATTGCTTGTTAAATGACATTTCCTTTTTTTGTTTTTTACATATGTTACTTTATACCTCGTAATTATCATGAATAATTCAGTATTTGGAATTTTGTATTTGACATACTACATGTATAGGAGAGAATAATTCTATTCTCTACTAAAAAGAGATTTCATGGTGACTTCCAATCATAATCTCTGTAGAACAAATAAAAAAATCATTAATCCATTCATAATTTATAGTACTTTGACTGAAATGGGGAAAAATCGCTTTCTTATGACATTATTTATCCATCTAAAAACATGCCTGGTTGTGATTTTATAATGATAAACGTTATGATATATAATTGGTAGTATCTGTTCTTAAAAATTCAATTCAGTAGTTTTTTTCTAGATATTATTTCATTAAAACAGAGTTTTTAGGAAATCTATCTATTTTCGTTCTATTCTTACATTACTGTGACTTGACTGTTAGTGTTGCAACTTTCCCATGGAAACTAATTAACAACATATTGTAATTTTACATATATTTTACTGAATATAAGATGTTTTAATTCAAATGATGTCTGATTCTTATAAATATAGAAGACTTTTCGAAAGAAAAATTGTATGAAAGCTTAGTTTGGACATTTTTATAGCAACTCAAATTACTACCCATCACTTTTAGCTTGAGAATAACAATAAAATTTCTATACAAACTGTTAGACTGATTTTTCATAAAAACATTGAAGTGGAATTAAAGTCTTATAGGATTGTAAGTATGCTTTATTTTATCACCTTGCACTTTCAAGACTTAACTGTGGTTTTCTACAGCAGTTTGTTCAAATTTCTGACCAGTTGAACATTTTGGTTATATAAAACAAATTGCAATTTGGTCAGAATTTTGAATAAATTACAATAGGTGGAGAGCAACACTAACAGTCAAGTCACAGTAAAATGACATATATTTAGAACACAATGAAATACATGTTAGTTTAATTAATGTTTTTTTTTATTTTGGTTCATTTATAAATATGTTTTGGAGTTCAGAGTGACGTCCATTTTCATTGAACTAGAACACATTTTTGTTTAGGGGCCAGCTGAAGCCCGCCTCCTGGTGCGGGATTTTCTCGCTGTGTTGAAGACCAATTGGTGGCCTTGGGCTGTTTTCTGCTATTTGGTCGGGTTGTTGTCTCTTTGACACATTCCCCATTTCCATTCTCAATTTTATAAACATCCATTTAAACCATTTATATTGTGGTTTGAAATCATTTAGTTTGTAATTATTATGCCTCAGTATGCAAATTCTTTATAGAATTACAGACAAATAAATTTACTAGTTTTACAAAATTGTCTGGAAAAGACTATTTACCGGTTGATAATTTCAAAAACCATTTTCTGGGTATGAACTAGTAATTGGAAATACATATATGTCAGTTAAATGACCATTCGCAACTTATGTTTGGAAACCACTATTACAAACCCCATTCAAACCAATATAAACTTACAGCTAGCATCTCGGGTATTGCCAGTCACAGACTTTTTAAACCAGTTTGCATTGGAAAAGATGAAAAGGAGAAAAGATCCTTTCTAAAACTTTTTTTTTGCCAACAAAAGTCTTGATGCCATAAACTTAGTCCATATCCTTCATCATAGATCACTTCACTCGAAAATCCTAAAGATCAGTCTGTACCTATCATTCCTTTTACCTATACCAAACCAATTGTCCAAATTTTCAATTACAAACACGTGTTGTAGGATCTCAATATTGAAGACTTCAAGTCTAAACCTCCTGATTGCACCTGTGCTAGTTCCCCATTCATATATAATCCGACTTGCATTGTTATTACTGGTGACCTAAACATTGTCAATATCACTTCTCTGCAAAATGTGTTATCCAAAGGCCAGAAATATTATGAGCCTAAATCCATCAATTGGAAACACAACTTCAAAATACTGATGAATTCAGTCAAGGATTATGCCAGCCAATGGTTTAAACGCGAGAAAGAAGGTTAAGATCCCCTTTCCAAATTGAAAGTGATTAAGACTCTGAGGCCGTTGATACAAATCAGTATTTAAAAACTGAATCGGTCAAATACCCATGCTACATCAATCTTTAAAGACCCAAATGTTGCAAAATACCTGAGTGTCCTACCTCAATGACAAATATGTTGTTGTCTCCGCAGATAAAGCACCAAAAACAACATTGTTTTTGTGTGTAAATCATATTACACAAACTGCTTGATAAATGGATTAGGTACTGGCAATTCACTTGGAAATTCAACATATAACCCCACGACATTTACCAAGGAGGAAATCTTCGAATATTATAGGTCTGTTTTATGTTCCTTTGGAATTTCAACCAAAGATGAAGAACTGGATCTTTCTTCACTTTGTTGGATGCCTAAACTACATAAGTGTCCTTACAAACAATGTTATATTGCTGGATCTTCCAAGTGCTTCACGAAACTTCTTTCTAAATTATTAACATCAATTTTATCAATAATCAAAGCCGGGCTTCAAAGTTATTGTGAAACTGCCTATTCTAGAGGTGGCGTGAATCAAATATGGATATTTAAAAAACCCAAAGATCATTTAAAGTACATACAATCTAAGAATCTTTCATCTCGCAATAGTATAAAAATATTTTACTTTTCTACACTTTACACAAGTATTCCCTATTCTAAACTAATGAGAAATTGAAAGAGTTGGTCCTGCTTTGTTTCATAAA